CTAGCCGCACGCTGAAGTCAAATGAAGTCAATTACGAAATAGTCCAGAATAAGGTGTTAGCTCTCCTCCGAATATTGGACAGTTGTTACACGATGATGGTCTCACGAGAAATTATGGTGCTTACGAGATATTCGACGTTGGCTTGGCTATTACAGTCGCCTGGTCTCAACGGAAGACTAGGGATGTGATCAGCATTAATATCAACTGGACGTTAGAGATTCGACGATGCGAAAAAGGCAAAGACGAAGTGTTGGGCACTCTAGCTGCAAGTGTGACACCCCGCAAAGACGTAGACGAAATGCTGATCGCGAACGCTCCGAGAATATAGCCACATCAAACCATAAGCATGCTACCACCCACATTAGAAACAGACGAAAATCTCCTGGTGGTAAGCTTCGATGAATCGTCTAGGGTAAAGAAGAAAGGCGGGACTTACAGTGCGAAAATATGAAAGTTACCTGAGTGGCAAATCGTGGCGGCTACGTCTGAGTTTGCAGAGGATTTGACAGTGAATGAGGAGGAATATCGCGGACTGATCCTTGAATCGGATTCACTGTCCGATCAAGACTAGGCGACGGGTGATCTTCTTTGGTGACTCGAACTTGGTGATAAGGCAGCTGCGAGGCGAAATTGATCGTAAAGCTCCCGGTTTACAATTGCTAAAACATAAGGCAACGGAGAAACTCCGATCGTGGCCAAAGCATGAATTTCTACACATAAAAAGAGACTGAACCCAGAGTGCTGATCGGCTAGCGTGCGAGGCTTTACAGCAAAAGAAAGGGGATGTCGTATTATCAGACCATGGGCGAAATAATCTCATGGTCCTTAATTGGCTAAAGGAGTTGCTGATAGCGAGACAAACCTACCAGCCAGTCAAAGTGGCAGCGATCACTCGATCAGCGACGCGAAGAAGACCCCCCTCCGACAGTTTTGCGAGAGATGGTTGTACATCAGGTCCGGATCAAACGGATTGAGGAGAGTTGGATGTTGGACTTGAAGACGTATCTGATCGGGGATATAGCCGCGCTGAATGTTAGCTACGCAAAGATTTGCTCCCTAATCGCACTGAACTACGAAGTCGATTCAAAGCGGACTGTTACTTTTCTGTCCAAGGGCAGCAGCAAAAAGCGAAGATCGAAGAGAGCCGGTTTGTCTGGTAATTCCCGAATTGTTGCAACAAGACGTCTCACACCATTACCATACTAGTTTGGAAGAAGGATATCAAGGAGTGGAACGTACATACCAGCGGATCAAGGAAAATCTACGTTGGCGAGGATTGTAACGAAGCGTGCAACGCTATGTTAGCGAAGTGTGGATTGTGAAACGGTAAGGTTCGCCCGCAAGATCAAGGTAGATCGCCAGGAAATTTACAAGCGACTTAACCTTTCCAAATTCTGGCAATGGATCATATTCCGTCTCTACCGCGATCGTTTAAAAATGATACAAAGTTACTGCTGTGGGTCGATCTGTTCTCGGGCTATGTGTATGCAAAGGCGAGCTCATCCCGAACTGCACATACAATCACATAAGACTATGAAGAAAGTGTATTTCGAAGATTCGGTGCGAGTGAAATCATCCGTCATGACTGAGAGCCAGGATTTATGTCTGATTTCTTTCGGGCATTCAACAAGATCGCGGGACGGAGGCTACGTTCCACAATGGCCTATCGACCTCAAGCCAACGGAACCGCGGAACGCATGGTTCAAAGCCTGTCGCGACCAATTAAAAATGCCACTGATGAAAACCAGAGACCTTGAGACGAATGCGCTGAACAATTGACTCACGCGATTAATACCACGCAAGGTTGAGTCCGCGGGGAAACGCCGTTCTATTTGGTCCATGGTTGGGACACTCGATCGACGTTGGAAGCGAATTTGCCGCTAGGGAGTGTTAAACCTCGCGATCGCGACCCCAGAAGATGGAGGTATCATATACAGCTCCAATATCAAAAAGCGAGGGCAATCGTGAACAATCGCCTGAAGATAGCAATTCAAGACCGAGCGGATCGTCATAACGTAGACCGCGATTTGTTGTATATTGACCAAGGATCACAAGTATGGTTGCATCTGGATTGCGTCAAAGATGAATGTGCTCGAGAGTTAGCTCATGTGTAAAACGGACCGTTCCGAGTGGTTGAAAAATGTGGAGACCATGTAGTGAAATTGGCGATCGCAGGCTTATCCTATCGGTCGTTCCCGGTCGTTCATGTATCCAAACTGAAGCCAGTAAAGGTGTTCCCAGAACGACCCCAAAGTTGGGTGAATGTAGACGATTCTGATTGAGTTGACTTTGATGAAGCCCTACTTTCGGAAGATAGTTGGGAAGATGAATCGGATGATGACGAATTCGAGGTAAAGAAAATTATGGATGTGCGATCAGGTCGAAAAACACGCTACGGGCGAGTACACCGTCAATTTCTAGTATAATGGAAAGGTTATAGCGATTCTTAATGGGTAAATAAAGCACATTTGAATCGTGGAGCCTTACTGCAAGAATTTGATCGCGACTGAATAAGTCAGATCATTTTGAAATTATGCAAACGCATGAAGAAGATCCAGGGGCCTAGACCAAATCGGGGTGGTTGGAGTGTGTAAGTATGCTAGGAGGTTGCATACGGTTGTAAGGAGGTGAAGAGTATACTGGGAGGCTGTGTATGAGAATGGAGGAATGGCGGAAATATGCAAGGGGGTTGCACATGTTGTAAGATGGGAACAATTGCATCAGGAGGTGATGCGTGAAGAAGGAAGGGCTGATTGCAAGTATGTGTGGAGATCGAAACACAATGGCGGTCCACGAGACTAATAGAATAAAAAAGGAAGAAGATATTTCCTAGGTGTATCAAGATAAAAACAGCATGAAGAAATGGAAATGGAACTTAAAATTGCATTGAACCAAACAGACTACCGAAGGAAAAACTTGCCGGCTAGGCGAGGGATCGACATGCCTGGATGATCCGCGATCAAAGCTCGGCACTATTTGCTCCACGTCTCAGCAGAGTTCTTTAGCAATAAAGTGGAGGCCAGGTTTGGGAGAATCGGTTTTCTGAGTCCTCAACCCAGGGTGCCAGAACTGCTTCTCAGTCGAACGAGGGAGATGCAAGAAATTGGATCCAGCAGAATGTCCAAGTCACAATGTCCTTCCACTGACCCTGGAGTATGAATCGCAGAACGGGTTTTCAGCGGGGTCCAGCTCGCGAGCACCTTTGCTTGCGCTGATCACAGTACAGCACCAACCCAGGATCGCTAACCCGATCGGCGGAGGAAATCAGCAAAGTTTGGGTCGAATCCCACATAGTCTGGACATGGCGATCCGTGAATGAGTGGTACAGATCTAGTAATCGTTCGAACCATCCAGTAGGCGGGAAGGACAAGGGCGCGATCTTCACCTTCAGAGACTTCCAAGGCTCCTGGCGGTAAAGTGTGGCGATCTGCGCCAAAGAAGCCAAGCGAGAAGACCACTCCAACACAGGAGATGTTATCGACTTACTGGGAGGAGCTGGGAAGGGTCATGCTTCGGCCTGGCAAGATGGCGACAGAAAAATTACAAGTCTAGTTCGTACATGCTGATCCAGCTCACCCGACGAGCAGACCAAGGTGAAACTTAAAAGAAGATCTCGGAACGCGACAACGATACCCGGGTATCCATTGATCGCGTGACACCTTGGTCTGGAGAAGAGCATCGCACTCGGCTGAAGACAACAGCGTGTTGATGGGAGATCGAGATTCTTCCGCAACATTGATCTCGCCATCCGAACTGCTAGAAGCTTCGCCAAACAAGTCGACCTCGGAAATCTTGGTTTTAGGCGTAGGAGAAGCAGCGATCGGGGAAGTAGGAGAACCTAACGCAGGTCTAGGGGTGCTCACAACGATCAAATCGAGCAAAGTGGAGGTCGGAGCCAGCGGGCTACCGGACGGAACCATACGCCGGGAAGAAGAGCGCGATCGAGAGAGTGCAGCTAAAGTTTGGGACTCCTCATCTGATGACTCATCAGCATCCAAGCGGAGCGTAGAAGCGTTCGATACGCACAGTCTACCTTTCCCCTTACGACCACCAAATTCGGACGGAACGGGTGGTTGGGGCGATTGCTTTGCCGCGGATCGCTTGGAACGGCGGAGGGACAGGGAATGCTTTACTTCAGATTCCTACCAGGTGAAGAAGACGTGGTGTATACGTTGGGTACATGCAAAGCCTAAGTTTTTGAGGTCGCCTAGACTGACGACTGCGGGGGGGGGTCCGGGAGTACAGGAAGCCCTTGTCTTGGCCCTTTTGTTCCGCAGAGAAAGAACTAGAGCAAAAGATCTGGGACGTTTGCCACGGGTGGCCATGGACTTTGCTGGTCCTTTTACGCATGATGGTTAAGAACGGGATGAGGCCTCCGCGACAGAAGGGAAAGAAAGAGGGACGGATACGCTGGTAGAGAATGAGGCAATACTCACCTGAAGAGCATCCCGATCGCGCAATGCTAGATCGCGCTCTGACTCTAGATTCGAGATCTCAGTCTGGAGCCGATCCACTTGATCGTCCGGATCGGCGAGAAAAGAGCGTAACCGATCGCGATCGACTTCGGGCTCAGCGAGATCGCACAAACCCTGATCGCGCTCTACCACCAGTGCCGCAAGAGCATTGCGCAGACGGCAAAAATTGGTCTGGACCTGGGAATAGCCAGCCTTGTGTCGTTCTTTCTTCGATTGGACCTTCTGATGTCTCGCGGTCTCTTGGGTGAGTGCAGCATGCATTCGGGTATTCCATCATTTATGTGCTGTCGCAAGGCTGCCAACTCCGAATCGTGACGTTCCCGTGAACCATGAAGCGATCGAGTCGCCTTCAAAAGCTTCACCTTCAAGTCTTCAATCTAATGCTCTTGACACTGACCCGCGTATACTTCCTCCCGAATTAAGGCGGCCTCCGCACGCGCATCTTCGAGGTCAAGCGAAGACTTTTGTATCGGACTTGAACGAAGTCACAAACGGAGAGGCCGACTCAGCAAGGAAAAGAAGCTTTTACTCCAGCCGATCACCTCGACGAGTCTGTTCCCTCAACGCTTGCTCCAGATCAACGTAGCGATCGACGCAGTTTTGCTCAAACTCGATCCGCTGATAAAGACCAGCGAGCATCTCGATCGCAGCCGCTTGATCGGCCATCGGCGGCGATTCGACTCGAGCGATCGGCAATGGAATCGCTCCTATGGGGCTGAAGTCCATTTGGCCGATCGTCAGCAGAGGTTGCAAGAATTGCACTGAGGATATACCGTAGTGGTATCACTCGAAGTACCAGGCGATGCATTGACGGTTGTCAATGTGGAGCCAACCGGGTGAGGTAACGCGTCACCAGTGCAAAACACATCGGTCGAGGCACGATGGGGCTTGGACGATGTGGACGACGTGGACGCCATGGCTAACGCTAAAACAGAAAATGACGACAGAACACGTGCACAAGCCAGCCGGATGTTGTGGATCGAATAGTTGTGCAGGGGGCGATTGTGGTAAAGCCGATCGAGATCGGGTCCAAAAGCCTTGGTGATTCAACTAAGTACGAGGTTGTATTGGCTGAATCGCTCGTAGGATGACAGTTACCTATTTGGATGTTACCGTTGAAGGAACCGAACGGGCTCAAGCCGATCTAGTCCATACGTTCCTATACTGTATGAATATCAAGGAACCGCGATTAGGGAACCGCGATCTGGCGTGGTCCACGTGAGATAGAAGGATTGCAAATCCATTCGGCATGGAGAAGACACGTGACTGTCAATCCTGACATACGGAGTAGGCGTGGTTATGTTTTTGGGTTTTAGTTGGTTAACATTAAAAAGAGTTCAATTTGCTTCTAAACACATGCGTGTCTTTAGAAGCAAATGTTACTCTCTTTAATGTTAACCAACAAAAATTCAAAACTACACGAGAGTTTAATTTTCTTCTAAACACACGCGTGTCTTTCTTCTTCCGGGTTGGATATTTTGGCCTCCCGACGTCAGAAACTTCATTATCAAGGGAAGGAAGATCACTCCCGGAGTTATTTGGCCAGAAGTGCAAGTACTCTCATCAAACCTCAACTCGATCGGACGCAGGCAATCTTACTGGTTGAATTTTACAAGATCGCGAGATGGCTCATGTGGTCAGAAGCTCGCGGCTCAAGTACCCCATTTTGATACAAGGCAATCGAGGCTGATCGCGGCGACTCTAGGAGAGCGCCAACCAGGAGCGCGATCAGGTGAGGAATTTCCACCCGATCGACATTAATCTCTAAAAATATCAAATTCAGCATCGAGTCAAGTCCACCTAGAAGAGTGCAACCCGCCCTACCGACGGGTACACAAGCTGAGGGGGAAACAAGCGCAAGCAGAATCGGAGTACCCCATTCGTTAGTCGGTTGTCTGGTCGCCAGTGGAGAGTCGGTATCGCCTCATAAAATGAGCGAACCCCACTCAACCACAACATCCTTCCTAGAGATAGGCGTCTATGCTGGTACAGTGGCAGCATTAAGCCTTTGTAAGTATGCACAAGGCACCACTTGCCATTTGTCGTTCTGACACAAAATGTCGGTGTCGAGTGCCGAGACTTGCTGTCACGCACCATGCCAGTCGCAGTTTTTGCAAGAAATAACTCGTCAATGACTGCACACTGCTCTTTTGTTAGGGGCCATTGCCTTGTCAAACAGTATTCGGTTCCAGGAACCAGGTCAATTTTTTTAGACGTACGCATCAATCTGGAGGCAGAGTGGAAGGTGGATCGTGGCACACCACATTTTAAAACCCCTTAATTAAAGGATAAAATGGGTCTTTAGGATCTTTTAAGATTGATGAACCACTTCGAGCACTAAGTGCCGCCTTTGTGTCTTCCAAGACAGCTTCATCAAGAAGTGAAGACGAGCTCAATTTACTATCGGGTCTGATGACCACCACTTCAGATAAGTCACCTGACTTTAAGGCCAAGTCAGACTCATCGACGGACATTTCTTCAAGCGCTAACAGATTATTAAGTGAGGGTAGAGTCTCAAGATCCACTGAACCATCTACCTCACCATTCACTCCATCAACGAGTGTACATAGCTGCTCGCTGGTATCACTCGGTAACGAAACAGACGCCTTGCGTTGCATTGCAGCAATCAAGTGTCTCTGTCGTCTCTTTAAAGAGACTAAACAATTCAAAGAGACTAGGGCTTTCTCGCTCCCAAGGTTTATATTATCATCATCCTTCATTGCTCTGTACAATAGCCGTTGTCATTTCCGACACCCAGGACATCAACGCCAGTGTCATTACCGACATCCGGGACTAAAGCGCCCCCAAGGTGAAGAAGTGCGTCAACCTTAAATTGCCCAATAGCAGGACTGATTGCATTGCCGACAGATGGGACTCCACTGTCCCCAACGTGACGAACTTCGTCAACCTTAATCTGATCTATGTCAGTTTTAATGTCATAAAAGACATCTGATGATAAGTCACTTACAGTGAGATCACCACCCAGGGGAACTTACGTGTCACTTCACGCTCATCGACGGGTCCTCGCCCTTGATGACTTGGTATTTCACCAACAATGTCTTGACTGAGATTTAATGTGTCGTAATCACGGCCACATCACTCAGTAAATACTTACGTACCACTCCACGCTTACCAGATGGGTTGAACCCATGATGACTTGGATCTAGGCCAACAATGCTTTCAGCATCAGTGATTAGCTATCACAATGATTATTACTTAACGTAAAAATTGTCGTTTGACTATAAGTCAACGAGCTTTGCTCTCACCTAACGTTTTTGAAATCGTTTGATTCAATGAGTTCAGCCATACTCATGTCCAGCACACTGACTATCTCATTCTGTGGCTCGCGCCAATATCGATTCTGTTTCCTAGCAGAGGTGGGCCCATGACTCTACAAATTCTTACTATGAAAGTTGCGCGTTGCGCCTAAGGTCTTTGGCCTCCAGTTAATCCGTCGAATATGGCCTTCTAGCCAGGTACTACCAATGATGAGATCATATCTCTCATCCAAGTCAAGAACCATACGGCGTTCAATACTGTCAAAGTCCGAAAACTTAATACTCAAGTTAAGGAAGTTTTTCACAGTGGATAATGCACCTGTTGCCAAGCGAACAGTGACAGTTCTACTCTTTCGCGCTTTTAGAGCCTCAGCTTACTGCTGACCACCTTTAAGAAACAAGGTCGGACGTAATTTTCGACGCCTCGGATTTGATTAAAAAATCGACCTTGGCTTATCAAAGCTCTTAACTGTTGCTATCGCAACTTACAATCCTGGCTTGTACACATGCTTCGTGACATTGTGCGCAAAGTCACTTGGGGCTAAGCCCTGTTCTCCATCACCTCCCCGAGGTACCAAAGAGACTAAATCCTCCCCAGCAGGGCGTTATGAGCCTACTGGGACTCGACGTTCCCTGCGCTTTACCGACTCATTGGTTAGCGACGTGAGGTCGGCTAGAATGAGCCTGCCTGGATCTTCTCAAAGGATACTTATGGGAAAATGTTTGAAGCTGCCGCACGTAAACATCGACGGATGTTCGAACACTGTTCGACATCGTAAAGCTTAGCTTCTTCGTCTCTCTCAGCGAGACGAAGGTCAATGGGCTCTGCCTATCCATGAGATGAGCATTACTCGACGAGTTCGATCGAAAAACATGATTTAGTAGCGGGCAGCTTTAACGTAGAACTATGCGTTGAGCGCTTTGTCCACTGCACCCTCAAATGTTGAGGATTGGGCACGGAACACTTCTGTTCCGGCAACTCCAGTAAGAAGACTCTCTTTAAAATTGTTCTCTAAAATCTTCCCAGGAAAAGGGTCAAGACGCATAGCAGCAGTAAGAGTTCGCGTCTCCTGGACATAATTGACAAGGCCCTTTTAACCCTGGTGGGCTTACAGGAAGCGTGATCGCACGCGATGGGTCTGATAAGGCGGGTCGAACACCCAAGATATCTGATTTTTAGCGAATCCCAGGTGGGAAAAGTCTCGTCATCGAGGTGCCAGAAGTGAACTCCCACTCCCTGGCTTGCCCACATAAATTCGATAAGGCCAGGACCACCTTTTGCTGCTCTGAGCGCAGCATAGACGAGTTGATTGCCACCTCCATCTCTCAAAACCATAAAAGGAGATTTTCTCCTTCTTGTCCCTTAAACTTCTTGACACTCAAGACCAGGGGGCAAGTCTTTATATTAGTGATTGATATTAGAAACTACCGAGTAGTCATGGCAGATCCCAGATGGTCATGGACCTGTCCGATCAACGTAAACTCAAAGCTCGAAAAGGCCTCGAGATGTGCACGAAGTGCGTCCGGGCCTTGCGTCACTACAAGAGCCACTTGCTCATGGCCGATCAACGCATTTAGCTTCTCAAGCTTGATATATTGGGCCTTAAAGAGGTCCATGGCCGTATCCTTACTCGCAGAGGATTCAGTCTGTGAAGATTCCAGTGTAGATTGACTACAGGTGCTACCAAGTGTAGCGGAGCTACTCAGCGCTCCTTAAGAGAGAAAGTCTAAGACTCAAAGATTCTTTCGCTATAAAAAAATCTTAACGTCGTACGGTCGTTCAAGCGTATAAGCTTAACAATCCGGAATCCTTGGGGATTACGACTCACAAAATTACGCACTAACTAGTCACTACAAGTTGGCCAAGAGTAAGCGCCTTTACAAGGCTAATTCTCATGACTTTACACTACGCCTTTACTAGGCCCTTGTGTCCAACGATTCAAAAGGGAACTAAACGTTGTTTTTTTAACTACAGCAATGGAACCATAAAATCGTGCATGACTGACTAATACATTGCGATCCTATGACAGAAGTCTTATCCCTTATCCTTAACCGATAAGGTGTGGTATTACCGTAAGTACATGGTACTAATACTATAGCACTCAGATCCACCGATCTTTACTTCGTGTGGACACACAAATCTCGTTTTAATAACCGCCGTGAAATCCCGTAACAAGCTATTAGGGCCTTCACATTCGATGTACCTCACCTTATTGTCGCCAATATCCAAGGTGCCAAATAGTATGCGAGCCGCAGTAGTCCAAAGATTGGAGTACTTACTAAACCGATGAATCATTGCTGGAAATTATGCCAGCTCTACAGCAACACTAGAATTCTTGGTCATAGTTATTTGTGCAGTGCTGCTTACCCTTTAGTTGGGCTTGTGGCGGCATTTTATTTAGGGTCCCGTCCCGCAACATCCCATCCCGCAGATATCAAATCCCACCC